TTAACCCCAGAGACACTATCATAAACATCAAGCTATCTAAGAATGTGTGGGTGGGACTTCTTATGTGCATATAAGATGACTGCGTCTCAAATTCAGGATCAAACAAACTGCCTTCAAGGAAAATCCACAATAGCTGAATATTCTGTTCTTCCTGGCTGATAGTAAGCATGTTCTCAGCCTGTGGGACGCCCTTTGTTTTCCACAGAAAACCTAATATTTGTTTTTCCAAGTTGTTCATTCAGATAAAGTAAAGTGGACTGAGATATGTTTTGAGCGAGAGCTGGAGATGTTTGCTTTCAGTTCAGTTGAAATCAGGCCACATAGCGCAGGGACTTAATCTCTTCTGGGCTCCACCCTGCTTTCCCTGAGCAGGTCACCAAATTAGGTTGCCATATTGTGGCCTGAAAACATTTAAAAAAAAAAAAAAAAAAAAAGAAAGTCTGAGCTCAATTGAATAAGAGTTATCAAGTTAAAATCACATCTGTCAATGTGCTGCCCCCCCCACCAGCAGCTGATGTTAAGGGATTATGTGACTGTGTGATTACAACAATCTTTTGGCAGGCTGCTGCCTTTTTTTTTTTTTTGCCATTTCTACAAGCAGACAAAAACATACATCTTAAATGTTTTCAACAATGTTTTTCTTCCCTTCGGAGACTCCTAAAACAACTGCAAGGTCACCAGCTCAATCTCCCAAAGCGCGTCTTTTAAGAGCTTTGTGGTGTACTTTATAATTCACTCATGTAGCAACTGACAGAATACAATAGAGAAACTATGTGTTGCCTGGAGGCGAGAATACACCCACATTACTACTGGGCAGCTGTGGTGGAGTGACATCATGCAGTACTTCCCTGGGCCATATTCTCTTATTCAAACCAGAAGGGCTTGACCTAGTGGTTCTCAACCTGGGGTTCAGGATCCCCCTGAGGGGTCCTACGATAAATCTGAGGGTTTACAAGATGCTTAAGACATATGTCTGTTGCCCTTAGTTGTGTTTAATTGTCCTGACTTTCCTCTGGTTCTGCATTTGCAAAATACTGGACACTTTCCCCTCTTTGGGCCTCTGGTGAAAGAGGTGGAGATGGAAATCTCTCTCTGATCGATCTGTTCACAATCCAGGGCCACGCTGAGGCCATAACATGGTCACAAGCATTTCCTTTCCTCGCCATCCTCTGGATTTAATTTTACCACAGTGTCGAACAATGAGTACAACAGAAAATACTCCGTTTCCAATTCAAATACTGCAGTCAAATGTGTTGTTCTGTCAGAGCAAATCCTCACATTAGACCTGGAGTCATCAAATGTTTGGCCTTTTATTTTGAAAAGTGATTTTAATCAATCATCAAAATAGTTTAAGATTACAGTTCTTTTAATCGACTAATCAATTAATGGACTAATTGTTGCAGCTCTAGCTGACTCCTCGTCAGTACAGAACGGTTTTGAATGGTTTGTTGCACTATTTTTGGGAAGACAGATGGGTTTAATTTAGCACCTCCTCAAAAGATGATCTCTCTTTTGGGTCTCATGTGCTCGGCCTCACTGTTATCTCAGAGCAACTTACAATGCCTCCTTTGACCAGATGGTGGGTGAGTTCTGACGCATCGGAAAAGGGAGAAACCTTGATCTCAGTGCAGCTGTTTCAGTGCTGCAGTGGCCCAGCCGAGTTTTAAACGCAGCCGATGGTAAACAAAAACAAATACGCACAGCTTGAGTTTGTACATGTATCAATCACAAAGCCTAAGCGGTGTCTCACTCTGTCTTCCCCAGCAGCCAGCAGCAGCAGTGCCGGCCACAGATCAGATGTGCGTGGGCTGCAGGTAGCTGTTTGAACAGCCATAGAAAGACAAAGTGTTTAATAGGGCCTCCTCCGACAGAGACACACCTTCTTAGTGTCAGTGAGGTCCCAGCTCTCCGTGAGGCTGTGGGGCTTTCCGGATCCTATCCACCAAACAGGAAGCAATACCCCACACACATGCTCCGGTTCTGCTTTCCTTGGTTTTTCCGTCACTGTTGCTATTCTGGCACCGTTTCCAATCATAGTTCATTGTTTCTGGTAAACTACAACGTCGCATCTCTCACAAGCTTTTCAACCGGCCCCAACATCCCCTCCCATTAATCATTACTTTGCTTCGCCTGGTTAAGTGTGGGTTAAATTCTCCTCACTCTGCATGGGTATGTTTTATCATTACTAAATAATTTAAGCATGATGCCAAATACGAAAGGATGACTGCAGGGTTTGCATTCTGTAGAACTAGCCGCAAGCACAAACAAGCCCACGATTGCAACATGCTGCAGCTCAATGTGCTCCAACAAGCTTCTACTAAGACAGGCAGAAAAATAACAGGTTGGATGCAGATGCTGTTTGTATTAAAAGTACAATCGTATGACTACTACTTAATGCATAAATCATAAGCCCCTCTGCGAGGCGCTGAAACCATTTCTGCCGGCAAATATCTGACACGTTCTGGGTCAGACCGGGCTCATCCCTAATTGTCGTGACTTTATACCAATTAGCTCCTTCTCTGCCTATTTGAGGAGGAAAGTGCACCTCCAAGTTAGAATCGGAGTGTTTCCAAGACTTAAAGAGAGGTGGCGCGTAGATAGAGGGTGGGCGAGCTGCGGGATTTACTCCGGGGCTGGCAATTTGAGGTTGATACCCAGCAAGCTGTTAGAAACCCCAGGTATATGCGCAACTCACTCCTCTCCAACTCGCTGTGGATTTCATTAATCACCACATCTGTTCGTTTTCGCAGAGTGCACCCACGTTCAAATAACATGGACTTCACAAGCATTACAATAGGCCTTCTTACAGCTCTATATATATATAGCTGAAAAATAGAGGAGAACATCTTGGCATTGTGTTAAACGGCAAATAAATGCAGGTTGAAAATAGCTACTGCAATTACAATCCTGTTGAGTTTTCGCACCATTTCATTTTGAGACCTAGACACAGTGCACAGAACCTACCTCGTCCCAGGGAAATACATCACTGCACATGATACGCATTTGATATTCTGACTCCTGAAAGCCCACAAAGAGAGTAGAATTTAACTGGAGTCAAATATGAATTGTAAGGAGATGAAAGCCGAATCAATCTGCCGACAGCACTCGGCAGTTTAATGTTATTCCTTCCTGCGTCTTTACACAGTCTCATTTGTCTCGGCTTGACTATTTGTTTATTTCAATGCATCCTCATTAGCTTCTGCCACAACAATTACCATTCTTCCCGAGGCCTATACTGTATAATTGAAATGGTATGCACACTGAAATCTCACAGCCCGTTTGTGTTTGTCCATAAAGACAGTTAAAATCAAGGTGAATGGCATGAATATGAAACTAAATCACTAGTTTAATGATGCATCTCTCTTTAAAAAATGTGTAAATATAGACCTTTTTAAACTCGACAACGTAAACTTTCTCAATGGGTTTATGTTTATCAATAGCTGACATGAAGTAAACTTGGACCAAAGCTGTTGCCCTAGCAACAGAGGCAGTGAAAAGGTCTGTAGTTGATTGTCAGCTAAAGTCTGGTGGCTGGTTCTACTGAATAAAACCTCCGTGTGATTTAAGAGGGCGGCCTGTGCTCACTTGGGCATGTTCGACATGTTTGGTTTGAGTTTTTGATGACATGGAAGTCAGGTGTCTCTGAGAATGTTGCCTTATTGACGGAAAGCAGCAGAATTGATCATTGTCGAGCAAAAACTGGAAGTCACAGAAACCTGTGACGCAGTTCATCGACATGGACGGCGAGGGGCTGATCTCGCAACCCCTTGTTTGAGAGAGACATTTCTTATCGTCACGAGGGACAACAGTTAAACTTCCCACGTTCAAATTTGCCATCTTTTTCTCTTCCGTTGATCCCAGAGGCAGCCTTGCTCGGTCTGCAGTACCTGTCCCTGTCAGATAGACTACAAGATTTATTAGAAGTAATTTAGCAGCGTCTCTCTGACATTGATGAACTCAGCTTATTGTCCAGCCATGCTGTCATGTTATGGCCCAAAATACAGTTACAGCAAATCTGTCCATACAGGTCCTATAAGCACCAAATGCTAAAAACATGATAAAAGTATGTAAAAATATCATTTCATTATGACGAAAGTCTTTTCAGGAATATATCAAAGTCCCAAAGTTCTCTTGTTAATGGTCAGTGGAGCACAATCTTGATGGTGTCTTGGTTCATTTAACTTTTCATTTCCATGGTCTGATAAGACAAATGTCAGACTCGGTTCATGTCCCCTTCTCTTTAACCCTGTTACAATCTGCTCCAAGGATGCTGATGTGTTGCTGACCGTGACCTCTGACCTCCCCAGGGGAGAGACCTTCCCCTTGGAGATTAATATCCTGCGTGTCCAATGACTATTGAGTCACAAACCACTTGGAAATTAAAATCTGTGCAGCCAACTCCACATTTAGCCTACAAAAAGTCAACATTTAAAGACATAACTCAAAAACCTTGAAGAGTCCTCCTACAAGTCTTAGCAGATCCATCCATGACTTGAATAGCATGATATGAAGTACCAATAGCCTCTGATCACCGACGTGTTGAAACTGGCTCAACTGCAGCCCACATAGACCCACAAGATTCCTCAAAAACAAGATTGTTCATCTTCATTGCGAAGAATCCAAAAGACAATGCACAAGAACATACACAAGAGGAAAGAAAAAGACCATGACTTGAGGTCACCAACTCCAAACGCGTGTTCCATTAACCCACATTGACACACCGGTTTGACTGAAGTCGCTGCAGGGTGTCAAACAGAGAGCTCCCAGTATGTAATCACATCATAAACACCGCCGGTTCGTAGGAATGCATTCACTGCCACATTATAAAGCTGAACGCGCACCTGAAATGGACGGCTCGTGTGAAAAATCAACCGCGCGCTGCTGTGCGTAACGGACAGGTAACACGGCGTTTTGTGTGACTGAAAAAACGACAGGAAAAGGTGCCCGCCGAATGAGACGCAAAAGACGGCTTGACGACACAAAGTAATCGTATCACTCACCTTGATGGCACCGAGAATAAGTCCTGAGCGCAAATTGTGTTGGAAAAGGCGAGGCGACGCTTCAGTGTTGCCGCCTGTCACCGGGGAGGAGGAGTTTGTGTTTACTCCAACATAACACAACTGGCTGTCAGCGAGCACACGGGTCCTCCTCCACCGGTTGGGCGAGGAAAGGGAGCCACAGTCTGGCCGCTTATTTTACTACAACATGTGTGCTTCGTTGTGGGCTTGAAGCTTTTTTTTTTCATTTAATTCCTGTTGAAATAAAACACACTGATATTTATGATTTGAATGAGTTGCCGAGTGCATTATAATGAGTTTTATATAAGACTTACATAGTTAATTGGAATGTAATGTACATAATGTATGTAGGTATACATGTGTCGTGTTTAATATATACATTTTATACATTTTCTGTAGGATTTTGGGGAAGATGTAATTTCAACCAAATGAGTTTGATAAGTAAGGACATCTAAATCTGTATTACAAACATGTATGAGACAATTTAATACCTTTTGATGAATTTAAAAATTGTAATTACACTCAGATGTAAGGGGAATGGTAGAAATATTCTGCAAACGCATAAAGAGGTTCTCTATGATGACCATGAACCAGGAAGTCCTGAAGCTTTAGACACTCACAAAGAGTGTTCTCTTTTTAAATGTTGTGCCATAAATCAATGGCACCAACCAGGTGGCTTACAGTGTAAAATGACATGATTATAGAGGTCAGAGGTCAGTTTCCTCTGTATTTTAATCTCTTTATTTATGATATTATTGCCTCAATGAGCCAATTATTCTCACGTCTCTTGTCGTCACAGCTTCAGTGCATCATTGATGAAGCATACATGTGATCGGATGCTCACCCCTCTTCCAGTAACAATTTTTTTAGTCAGACAGGTAAATAATTAATCCGCATTAAGTTTTATGACCCTACAATTTCAAGACTTAAGACTTTTAATCAGGGACTGTGAACGTGGTTCCCTCAAAGTACACGGCAGGTTCATGTGTAGATACTGAACAACTGGAACTAAGTGTGTCTCCTTAAAGAGCGTCTTTTACATGTCCTGAAGCTGCTTTGTTCAGTTTTAATTTTGTATCCACTGTCCCCTCAGAAAGTATTTCACAACCCTCTAAGTACATTCAGGAAACAGACAAGACACAGTTATTATACTGGTGTCCTACCATGACAACCAGCTCTGTGTTTTCCTTTCAAACCAAAGGTCAATACCATAATCTAGAGATTTTATGACCAGCAGTCCACTCCACCCAGGAAGGTAAGTCATACACAGAATCTTTAGAGGATCAGAGGGTCCTAATCTGCTTCTGAGGCTTCATCTGAGCTTTAGAGAAGAGACGCTGGGATTTACATTTAACTAGCGCAACTGGAATACAGCGATAATGCCATCCCTTAAGAAGATTCTGCATTTCATGGGCAGTGCGCTGGTTACTGCCTGTTCTGTTGGGGTGATGGGGTACTGCATGTCAACAACATGGGCTAGGACGACCATGGAGTGCACAACAAGTGGAAGTAACTTCACCAATGGATCTGCTGTGGTCACGTTGAACGTTTTTGTTGGGAATGTGAACAGATTCTTTTGCCCCTTGTTTGGAGGTCAGAACAATTTTGAAGGTAGATATTTTCTCTCTTATATACCTCGAGAATCTATAGCCATGTTGATAGTTTTGGGTTTTATTTCCCTGGTTTTCCCCGTCTCTGAGATTCCTGTCGACAAACAACAACACTTAAATTGAAATCATACCAACAGCAGTATGTCTTTGCAGTAGGGCAGCACCAACACCGATATAGGGCCGATACTGTCTCAAATAGCTGGATTGGGTATTAATGACAATGGAGCCGTGTGTTAATATGCTATACTGTAATTCTATTCCTGTGTTGACTAATTTGTTGTTGCATTTATTGGGTTTACACTTGAATTGTAGTCCCTGTTCATTTTGAAGATAAACTAACCAAAATGTATGGTGTATGATTTGTTCATTTTATCATAAACAATTCAGTTAATGTATATATCTATATGCTGTTACTCTGGATAATCAAAAGAACACACCTTCAATCGTTGTGTATACGTACTATTTCTACTCTCGCAAGTATCGCAATATCACAAACGGTGGGTAAACGAGTAAATGTGGTGTTTTTTTTATTTTGGGTGAGCTGACCCTTAATTACTGTGACTATACAAAAATACAGCACGTCATTTCCAGAATTTACATTATTGTAACAATTGGATAACATCTTCAAATAGTCTTGAAAGCAAAGCCTGCTCACACAGTCTGTCGTATAATTCATGTAAACTCCTATATAACCATAATATTTTTATACTGTGTGTGTGTGTGTGTGTGTGTGTGTGTGTGTGTGTGTGTGTGTAGTGATTCCTCAGTTGGTAGGAACAGGAGTTACCAATGTCGTGCTGCACGGTTTGGTTTTGTGCCTGTTGGCCCTTTGTCTGCTGTTTTCCGGCTGCAGCATCCTTATCTCCCTCTACAACAGTGTCAGCAACCCTTATGAGACCTACATGGGGCCGATCGGCATCTACGTCTGCAGCTCGCTCAGCGGTAAGTGAGATAAACGTTAGAGCACTGAGCATCTGGGAGTGATAGAAGTGGAATTGCCAGAAACAAATCAGCATATATTTGGCATTGCACCAATGAAGATTTTTAAGTGCTGGTTGTCATTTCAGTTTTCTCTCTTTTTCCTGCAGCATGTTTGTCCGTTGTGGTCCTCATTTTATTTGCGGTGAACGTCACCATGACCAGCATGGCAGAGAATTTGGTACAGACCTTCACCAGCAATACAATAGCAGACATGAGGAACAAAACTTCAGAGATGAAGCTAGGATACTACCTGGTCCTCCTTTACACAGGGCTCTCTCTTTTCGCTATTGCGTTGATCTACTTGTATGACCACGCAGCCTACACACATAGGCGGGAACAGCAGAGGCCTACAGAGGACGCACCCAAGGAGATCATGATGTATTAGTGGCCTGCAATGGAGTAGGTTTTCAGTGACATAGATAAATTGCTCATCATAACTTTCTGGAATAACTTGCTTTAATAGAGAAGTACAAACAGAAATCAACATAAACCAAATAATAAAATGTGTGTGTGTGTGTGTGTGTGTGTGTGTGTTATGTAACTGAAACAACAGTTTTAATGAAATAAGTGAATGTAAATAAACAATTAAGATGAGGTTGTTCCCCTTCTTTTGTATTTGTATTTTTATTTCCTTAATATGTGTATTATATATTATTTTTATTGTTTATTGCATGCACCAAACACCAAGGCAAATTCCTTATAATTGAATAACTTACTTTGCAGTAAACCCCCTATTCTATTCTGATTAGAGGAAGATTTTTTCAAAAACATTACAGCCAACTTCTATTTGTATTTTTGTCAATTAATGTTCCAGGTTTACTGAAAGAATGAAACAAGTGCAAACCATTTGTAGTTAATAAATGAGTCCAATTTTTAGGGAAGATTAAAGGTTAAAAATAAATACGGGTGAGAGAGGTTGAGGAGTGAAGTGTGAGAAGGCATAATGGGGATTACTTGATCTTTGCTGCCCTCTATCTCTGAGGAGACATAAATGTAAAAAGACGTCTCCTACCAAATGTCAAGTCAACCCCTCGAAACACGAGTACAATAAAATGATTGAGCGGATTTTCTTTTGTTTGTCTTTTTTTTAATCATGGGTCGTTTCTGTCAAAGGGTCTAAGTAAAGAAAGAAGAATAGGGAGCACTGCACAGGACTCACATTCTTGGATCATTTCCATGACTGGAAAACTCAAGACTTGGGTCAGACCAGTGGTTCCCAACGTTTTTAGATGTAACCCCACTGTCCTGTCAGATGAACTCAAGCATCTCTTCACAACACCACCTGTGTTGTTTGAAATTTGTCAACTTGTCAAATTGGATGTTATTTTTACACTATTAAATATACAAAAGTGGATACAGTGACAACAATGTTATCATACAATTGAACCGTCAGTGTTGCTTGCTATCTTTTTCAACCATTTGTCCATGAGCTACTTTTAGCTTTAACTATTTTGACTGACATGTGCTTACTTCAACGGTTCATTCATTAGGTTAAAGCCGTCAATTGATCATTGATTTTACTAATTACTTTTTAGTTGACTGTATTGTTTGGTAATTATTGCAACTTTTTACCTTTAGCTAGCTAACATTTTCAACCATTTATCCATTACCTTTAGCTGGCTTCATTCACTCTCAATCACAACACACAGTATTCAAGTGTTACGGCAGCTGAGCTGACTTAATATGTGGATATATTTTTAACCAAATAATTAGTTGATCTACAATCTTCCCACATACTTGTATCTCCTGGAAACTGCAGAAGTAGCCTGTCTCCTGGGCGAGTATACCCTCTGAATTTATGGAATGAATTGACTACTTTACTTACCTTCATTAATTCATGCCTCATGATAGAAGCAGTGCTTAACTTGAGCCCTTTAAACTCCAGTCATTTCAAAAGAAAAAAAAACAACTACAGAAAAAACAAGCAATGCAGACAAAGCTTGCTGAATCTGTAGAAGCTGAGATAGATCTTGCTGAGAGTCGGCATCTATTGTCTCCTGCATCTTCAGACGCTCTCACAGCTGTGATTCACATGACTGTGTTGACATGCGAGCAGGGGCGAAGTGTCCTCTTACCGTTTCCCGTGTCCCATCACTCAGGGCCTAAAGTCTGTTTGGACATGCCCTTTCCAGCACCTCTCAGCCCCGCAACGCCTTCTACCTGCCTTCAAAAGAACCACTCTTCCTTCAAGTCTCACACTTCAAGGGACCTGTGGAAGGATGCAGCAATCTGCTTTGTGGTCCTCAGTGTGAATATGTATTAAATTTCTGAGGATGCGTGCTTTCTACAATGAATCAAAAGCATTTCAGGCAGAGTTGAAAATCCAGCATGCCTTCTGAGGTGCAAATGTTTTTTTTTTTCAGGTTAGGAGAACCATCTGCTTATTCAAAGTCTAGTTTTATTAATTAGTCTAACACATCTGTTTTTTTAGGAGATTGAGTTAAAGCGATTGAGTTAACATTTATTTTCCCACCTGTCAACGTATTACTCTTGCCAAAATATTTATGTTGCAGCCTGATGTAACCCTTCAGCTGCATGTGACCGGGAGTCAGTGTGAAGCCGGGGCGGGATGTATTCTCCAGAGGAGGCCACGTCAAAGCCTGTTTCAGTGCAAAATCGCCTGCTGTGAAATTGATAAGCTCTTCACAACAAAGCACAGAACTGTTAGCCATTAGAGACCCTCTTATTTTATTCTTCACCCTTTGAAAGTCATCATTGACCCAATCTGACAGAACAAAATAGAACAAATTACTAAAACTTGACTTTACTTAAGGTCAATAATTGTCACATATAGGCAGTAAGTATCTTCAGCTATTCCTCTTTAGCCATGATAAGAAATAAAATGCTCCTCATAGAATGAAGGCATTTTAAATTGATGTATGTCCTCAATTCTGAATGTCAACCTGTTTAACAGCTGCTGGAGGAGATATTTAACTATATCTATTACCGATCTTCTCCCGTGTGCACTGAAGTGTGGAATAGCTGAATTGCTAGTGAGAGATCCCTCTCACCGTTTGCTGTGCAAACATTGATTGAATAAAATCAGAGATGGGCCGTAATCTCTTCCTCTCTGCATATCCTCTCTGTCTCTCGGCTCACCAGAATGGATAAACCTGGGATTATGCAGAAGCCCTGAGCCCTGACCATGCACTCTGTGTGATAGGATTAAAGCGGAAACTTTTGTACCTGTGAAACCTTATCCTCCTAGGTCCCGCATTACAGAGGCCTGTGAAACAGACACCTCCAGCTGCAGGGCGGGGGGGGGGGGGGACACATTCAGCCATGTAGAGTCTACTCTGGTGGGGCACATAGCGGGTTGGGGGAAGGGGTCTGCTCTTCTGGTCTTCAACCTTTGAGAATTAAGAGGTATAGGTGTAAGTGTATACAGTATGTGTGTTTGGCGGGGGTAGTGTCTTTAACACTTGTACTAACACTTTCACAAACACCTTGAAAGGCCCCTCACCTACAAATACATAGATAAAGTCTTATAAATAAACTAAATAAAGCAGAGTACGCAGGTGACAAGACAATAGAAACATTCCTCAGAGTATATACACCGGAGCCTATCAACCTGAAAACTCCAATCATAGCCCAAAGCTAGTTATTTGATGTCCTTATCACTACTGAGTGACCTTCTCTCGACACAGTGCCAGTAAGATGGGTGTGTGTCTCTCAAGGTGTGCCAGTTGCATTGTCCTATTAGGTATTGAACATTTACGGTCCCGATTTAGCAACAGCTGCGATAAAGTACATCACACATTTAACACACTATACACTCACTGCTCTATACTGTCTATTGCCTACTTTGTTATGGGTTGGATATATTCAATATAAGACATATTTCTTCTCAAGACTGTTTCTAGTTTTTAGTGACTTCTCAATGTTTTTGCGCTCCTTACACACTTAAAGTTGCAATGTGTAAGATATGGTTAGAATTTTAGTTTAAACCATTAACTAACTTTATCGACTGCATTTGAAGAGGTTACAGTGTTGACGTGTGTGTTGGCGAGCTATCTACTAAAAAAAAGGATGTTTTTTATTGGATTAAATCCAAAGTGGCAGAAACGACTTGTAATCCCCTTTCGTCCTCGCCACCACCAGGAGACCACTTCGCCGGGGAGACGGGCCTTCGGCGATAGGATTTCTCATTTATGCCACGGTGGAATTAATACAATAAAGAAACCATCAAAACACACGCGGAAGGTACGGTCCCCTGTTAGTGACAGTGCAAACACAATATTGGCCAACGGCACACGTCAAGATTATAAAATAGCAGTGTTATTTTGACCGGCTCTAAGAATTTCAGCAATATGGTTGAATTTTGCTTATTGTTGACCTGCTGTTAGTTAGTATTTGACAATTTATTTAATTTTTTTTATTTAACTGATGACTGTAAATTTAGATTGTATGGACCCAGCAGTAGAGGGGAAATGCTGACCCCTATTTGTTTAGATCGTGTGGCTACATCTTACATATTGCACCTTTAAAGACTCAAATTGTGTTTCAAAATGTGCTCTTTTGTATGTCATGTTTTATTGAATCTATTTTAATGGAGAAGGCCGCCCTCTATTTCACTGCACATTGTGCTGGTATGATTGTGTATATGTCAAATGAAAATGAAACAAGGGTACGTGAGGAGTTAAGGGGAACGGGTAGAATAACACCAAGGGATGAGCTGTACCTCGCTGTACTCGTTAGGTACTTTCACGCTTAACCTGACTGTGCGATATTGGAAGGCAGGCAGGCAAGTTCCTTACTTATCTCTGCCATTAATCTTAATTTGTCAGTGAAGGCTGAGGTGAAGGTGGAGGAGGAGGAGGGCTAAAAGGTAATTGCACCCCTGCTGCTCCATTATGGTGTCATTCCACTGTTAACAGAAGATAAGATCTCCTCCAAACCACCTGAAGCCGATTCTTCACTTTACCTGGCTGGGACAGAGAGACAGAGAAAGACAGAGAAGAAATCCAACCTGGTCTCCCGGGACATGTTGGAGACAAATTGAACTATTTAATCTGGGCAGAATCTTTCTGAACAATCTGTATGTGTGGTTAAAAGAAAGAAAGAAGGAATTTACGTCTGCTGCCAGATGACGGTTTACAGGCAGAGTGATGGATGTAAGGGGGGAGTGATAACTTTCTCTGCACCACTTCGCTTAACACCATTGCTGATTAATGTGCCCCTGATTGGCAGGTGTGATAGACATCAGTGGGTGCAACACGAAGGGACACACAGTTAACCTACTGACACAGCACACGGTTCAACTGAAGTGGAGTCATTTGACCCGGACACAGAAACAAACAGTTAACATTAACAATACTGCAGAGAATTTAATATCATTTTATAAACTCAGAGCTGTCTGTGACCCATTTCAGACAGGATGCCTATAAGAACTCATCATTTATGATTTTTAATGCAGAAATACCCTATCCTCGAGTACACGTAAACAAACTTTATTAACTAAGATGCTCTGGGATTTCCTGCAGATAAATCTGTCTTTCTACAGTTTTTTACTTTCTAGATATTCATGCTGTATTTGGTTCAGGTGTCTCAACAGTGAAAATCTAAAATAATTTTAAATGTATAGTTTTATTTTTGCCTTTCAGGATTTAAGATGGCAGAGAACAGTGCGGCGTGCTTGTAAATGAGGCACACAGTGATTTATTGAGACTCCACGGATCTAATGGTCCTCGGCTGTGTGCACTGCAGGAGGGCGTCTGAGAGGAAGTAAACGCATCACTGTGGCCTCGATGGTCATCATTGATTCTGACTGTCTTCAGTTCAGTTCAGACGTTCAGTCAGTTGCTAGTTACGTTCAGTTCAGTACAAAACTACTCGATAAAGCACTGCACGTGAGGGTATTCTCTTTTTTCATATGACAACATTTACAGTCACAACTAAATCCTCTGCAACACAAACTGCATCAGACCTGCATTCAAATCAATTTCTTACCAGGAGATTGGTTACTCAAGCTATGCACCAGGTGGCAGCGTTCAATATCTGAATCAAACAAATCCCTGTCTGAAACTTACTTGTATGTACTTCAGTAAAAGTTGAATTTACTGTTA